CATTCAGGCCATAGTCTTTTCAACCACTTGCTATGCATCTGAGACCTGGACAGTGAATAAGCATGACAAAAGAGTTTGTCTTTAAATTGTGGTCCGGAGAAGTGTGCTGATGATCCCATGGACTGCCAAAAGAACAGTTATGTCTTGGACAAAGCACAGCCAGAGTGCTTCTTGGAGGTAAAGATGATGAAGCTGTCTCATGTGCTCTGTGTATGCTACTAGGAGAGGCTATTCCTTGGAGAGGGTTGCATGCTTGGGAAGGGGGAGACCAGTGAGGAAGGCCCTCAGGAGGACTAACAGTGATTGCCGTGATGGAGCCCCTTGGTAGGATCCATGATGGGTAGGACCCACAGACACCGCATATCAATATATCTGAATCCTGTCCTATCTTCACAATCTCTTGACATACTAGAGGCAGCAACATCATTGCTGATGTCAGGTGGGTCTTGAGAATGGGATCCAGCATGTCAGAAACTGTGGGGATGGCACAGGATACAGCAGAGGTCAGCTCCGTTCTTTATGGAGTTGTGATGGGTCATACGTTAGTTAACAGTAACATTTTTCTTAGACGGCTTGTGAGCGGGACCTTGTGTATACCTATGGATAGTGTCCTATCACTCACAGTAAGCTACTTCAGAGCAGATCTTGATGAGCTCTTTTTTCCCCTTTAAATCACATTTATTTCTGTCAATTATAAAAATTCCCAGAGTCCAAGTGAATTGATGAGGTTACAAAAGACAGGTCACTTTTGTTTTTCCTCAAGATGAAAATTTATATGTACACAGCACCTCAAATCTTACTTTAAACTTTACATGCAAAGCTTACTTTTTCAATGATAGCTTATATATTAACTGATTTTCTCTTATTTTTTAGAACTAGAATGTAATGTTCCTGTTATACCACAAAATGTAGATGCCCAGCCCAAGAAAGACAAATATAAAGTTGGAGAGATACTCAAATTTACTTGTAGAAGGAAACTGAAAATCGTTGGAGCAGATTCAATTCAGTGCTACCACTTTGGATGGTCTCCTAATCCCCCTGAATGTAAAGGTATTTATCTTACAATTGTTGAAACTGACGAGCTCTTTTTGAAGATGAATGCCACACCACCTCTCTTCAACTTTGTCATTTCTGGCATAGATCACATGATTATTTGATTCAAAATGGCCAATACCAATCCACTCCAAGTCAGGTCCTCAATGCCCCGGAGGTCAACATTTACGTATTCCATTCTTTACATCTTTCAGTTGTCCTTCATTCGTATTCATTCATTCCATGTTCTCATGACTGGAAGTTGTAGTTGTTTCTCACCTTGAGTTTTGCCACATCAGCCAGCGACAGGTCTTCACGAGGTTAAAGGTTTACTCTTAAGGTGAAAGCTTGACTACATGGATCTCAGTAGACTGTACCCCAAGGACCCCACTCTCCCCATCACATTCTGGTGCCCTCCTACCTGAGGGTTCCTGTACAAGCACTGCTCCTCTGTTGACCATGGGTTTTCAGAGGCCTGCTATTTCAGAAGTGGACTGTCAATTCTGCTTTTCAGTCTGGGATATCCAGTTCCTTCCTGTTGTTGTTATGTGCCATCAAGTCGCTTGTGACTCATAGCGACCCTATGAACAACAGCTCTAAACTCTGCTCTGTCCTGTGCCAATCTCATTGTCTTCGACACACTCATCCTGATTGTCCCAGTCACCGAATCAATCCACCTCCCAGAGGACCTTCCTCTCCTGCGTCTGCCCTCCACCCTCCCAAGCATGATGTCCTTCTTCAAGGACCGGTCCCTCCTTACAACATGACCAAAGTATGTCAGATGAAGTCTCAGAATCCTTGCCTCTAAGGAGCAGCCTCTCCAGGATGAATCTGTTTGTTTTCTTAGCAGTCCATGGTACCCTCAATACTCTTCTCCAGCACCACAGCTCAAAGGCATCAATTCTCCTTCTATTCTCCCTGGTCATTGCCCAGCTCTCTGATGCATAATAAGTGATTGCAAAGACCATGTCCTGTACCAGATGCACCTTAATCTCCAGAGACACACCGTTGCTCTTCAGTACTTTGGAAAGGTGCCCAACAGCAGACTTTCCCATTGTAATACATCTTTTAATTTCCTGGCTACTGGTGCCAAGAGTGTTGACTGTGGTGCCAAGCAGACTAAAACTGTGAACAATGTCAATCTCTTCACCATCCATCCTGGTGCTGCCAATTGGTCCAGTGGTGAGAATCTTTGTCTTCTTGATATTGAGCCTCAATCCATATTGAAGGCTGCAGTCCCCGACTGCAAGCGCTTCAGGTCCTCCTCACTTTCAGCAAGCAGGGTTGTGTCATCTGCACGACGCAGACTGTTGGTAGATCTTTCACCAATCCTGATGCCACATTTCTCCTCATAGAGCCCAGCCTCCCGGATGATCTGTTCTGCATACAGGTTGAAAAGGTATGGAGACAGGATGCATCCCTGGCATACACCCTTCTTTTGAACCATGCAGTGTTTCCTTGCTCTGTTCTGACGACTGCTTCTTGGTTCAAGCTTAAGTTTTGCATTAGCATAATCAAGTGTCTGGGATTCCCATTCTTCTGTTTCCTATGCACCTGAAAGTTGGTCAATGAATCAGAGATCAAAGAATCGTCTTTGTATTGTGGTACAAGAATACTGACAAAAGAACTGTCTCGAAGGAAATGCAACAAGATTGCTCCTTAAAGGCAAGGATGTAAAACTAGTGCTCAGAAAACATGCTGGAAAAGGTTGAGTTAGCAGGAGAGAAAACAGACCCTCAACTAGAGGACAGTGACCACAATGGACTTGACCATGATGGTGCAGAATAGGGGAGGCTCAGGTTTGCGTTCACATGGTCTGAGTTGTAGTGATGGCACCCAAGAGAAGTTAAACAGGCACCAGTTTGATAAACAGTAAAAAGAACTGACAGTCAAGATTTAACTGTACTTGGATTTATAACCAACAAGCATCCAAGTACCAGTTAAGAAATAACTGCCCCGCCCTATAGACTAGGCAGGTACACCAAGTGCAGAAGTGGGTGGTTATTTCTATTTCAAAAAAGCAAAAGACCAAAAAGTTGAGAACCCCATTCTTTACTATCCAATCACACACAAACTTTTGGAATATTCATAGTTGTCTTATCCACCCCAAGTGGAAATCAACTTGAAGCCACCAAAAAAAAAAAAGAAAAGAAAAACACATTGCACCAGGGAAATCTGCTGCCAAGGACCTATGTAAAGTGCTAGAGAGCAAAGATACCACTTTTAAGGTGCTCCTGACTCAAACTATTTTAGACAACACAGAAGGCTGAAGCACTGCTTTCTGAATTTATGCAGAATACGGAGTATGCATTAAGACTGCTGAAAGAACAACTCTATTTGCAAGTATAGCCACCATGTCCCTGGTAGCAAGGGTCACATACTCTGGGTATGTTATCAACAAGAACCAGTCTTTGGGAAACTGGTGTCTGCAAAAAAGAGATGATCAAGTGCTTTCAGCAACAGACACAGCACTGCAGGGGTTGTGGTGAAGGTTTAGGACTGGGCCAGGGATTTGCTTTGTACACAGGCTATCCTGAGTCTGAGCTCCTGGTGGCCCTAAAGCTGAAAAACGTTTGCTATACAGTGCTGTGTAATGAATGACTGTGAGATTCCTGCACCCAAACATGATTTAAAAGGTCCATGAAAGCTCATGTGTCAGAGATGGAGGCAAGCACAGGGCTCAGATCTGTTGTTCATCCAGCTGCTGTGGGTCCCAGTGAACTCGGTGGCCCACAACACCACACTCTAAATAGAACAGTGTGCCAAGATGCTCTTGTCAAACCACTTTCCAAAGTTGTATGAACATGCCAATCTCCAAGCAAAAAAAGGAAATGTGGAAAGTTGTGGGAAGTGCTTTCTCAAGAAAAACGTCTAAATTTAATTGCTGTTATATGCTGAACACTAGCAATCATATATGAACCCGTCTGCACAAAGTGAGACCATGAGGCCACACTGCCAAAATCCACTTCAGAACTAGCTGCAGTAAATCAATACTGTTTCCCAGGAATGGTATAATTTCCTTCAGTTTACAATCAAAAATATGGCTAGTTTTAACACTGTCGAGTATTTTTACCATCTAGAGAAATAACCTTGTAGTATTCGACAGTGTTAAAACTAGCCATATTTTGATGCAGAGGGTCAAGGACTGCAGCCTCCAATATGGATTGAGGCTCAATGTCAAGAAGACAAAGATTCTCACCACTGGACCAATTGGCAGCATCAGGATGGATGGTGAAGAGTAAAGACTGCTAGGAAAAGATTTGTCCTGGAAAGGGTTAAACCGGTGGCTCTGCCGGGAAAAGGAGGAACAATCTCCTCCTGTACCAGTCAGATCTGATTTGATGGTACACTCACACACACACACACACACACACACACACACACACAAAATTTAAAAACAAAAACCAAAACCGGTGGCTCCTTCGAGGCAAGGATTCTGAGGGTCCGTCTAACATACTTTGGACATGTTGTGAGGAGGGACCGGTCCCTGGAAAGGGACATCATGCTTGGGAGGGTGGAGGGACAGCGCAGGAGGGGAAGGCCCTCTATGAGGTGGATTGATTCAGTGACTGGGATAATTGGGATGGGAGTGTCAGAGACAGTGCGATTGGCACAGGACAGAGCGGAGTTTAGGGTCACTATGAGTCGCAGGCGACTCGATGGCACATAACAACAAGAGAAATAACCAGGCTTGGACGGTTTTCAGTAGTTTTTAACAATAAAGAGTTATTCTGAAAAGACAGTAGTACCATTGGTAACTTGGAAACGTCACAGGAAAAAGGACTCTATCACAGTGCTTTCACCGGATTCCTTGATTCTGCACGGGAAGTGGAAGAGGCAGCAGCTGATCAGCTGGCACCAGTGGGTCCTCCGGGGGAGTGACCACGGCCTTGCGCAGTGTCCCCGCCGCAGGGGACGTGGTCCTCGGTCCCGTGCACATCGGGAGGCTCTCCTCTGACCAGGGACACTCAGGCCCGCGCACTGTCCCCGCCGCAGGGGAAGTGGTCCTCGGTGCGGAAGAGCGCGGGCGGCTGGAAGGCGCCGGGCGCGGAGCCGGCGGGCCGGCCGAAGAGCGCGGGCGCGGACAGCGAGTGCAGCAGCCTGCGGAAGGTGCTGGGGAAGGCGCCCAGCTCGGCCTCGGCGCGCGCCACCTGCGCCTCCATGCTGGCCACGCGGCCGCCCACCATGCGCACGAAGGCCTCCAGGCGGTCGATGCGGCCGTAGATGCGCCGCATCTCGGCGGCCTTGGCGTGGATGCGCGGCACGCCCTCGCTCACCACGTGCGAGGAGTCCCCGCGAATCATGTCCAGCATGCCCACGAACTCGTCCACGCGCGCCAGCAGCTCCTCCAGGCCCGCCTCCAGCGCCTGCGCGTCGGGCCCGGCCGCGGGCAGCAGGCGGGCGGCGTAGCCGGTGGCCACGCG